GGTGTTTGTGTGTATGAAGTCGACGAAAAGAACAACCACACTCGCTACACTGTAAAGTAGAAAATAAGTTATAGAATTTTATCAAGGATATTCTAGGAATGCCTATATGTATTCGCTGATGAATTTCTAAATTTTTGAAAATAAGATTTTCGAAACATTAAAAATATGAACTTTGATTTTCTAATTAGAAAATCAAGAGCGAATTCATATAGGCATTCCTAGAATTTCGGATTCGATATAGCAATTCGAACATATTCTATAAATTGGAAAATCAAATTTGATTTTTATCTTCATCATGTAATTTATTTTGTTTTATTTCATTTTATTTGTATTGAAAATAACATAAGGCGCAAATACAAAATAATAATATAAAGAAAAACATTTCAAAAACTAATAACAAGTAAAACAATAAGTACCGAACATAAATACAAAAATATAAGATACAAAAAAAAGTTTAGAAATAACATGCAAGTGTATCTAAATATTTCATGATGATAAGTTATTTACTTTATGTCCATTCAAAAACCGTTTAGCAGCTAATGATACGCAAAACGATCTTTTTGTGAATGATAAACCATTGAGAACTTCTAATGTTGCACGTATTTTTGATGGATATTCTATATTAAATATTTCATATGACCCAATTAAAATAGCCATTGATTCAACTTGTGAATTTGTTGAAATAAGACGATTATATTCAATAATAATAGCATAATCTTTAACTTTGTCAATTGATTGTACTTGTATCATAGGATGAGCATCAATTACTTCCTAAAATAAACAATAATAAAATAAACGATGATTACTATGTAATCATTTCACTTGTATAAGAAATTACTTACGTGATTTAATAACAATTTTTTTGAATGTTTGAAACGTTTCATTATCAAATGTTCCAGAATAAAAAATGGTTGTTCTTCTAAAATAAAGAAAATAAAAAAATATTAATAAAAAAAAATTACCTTCAGGAACATCTTCTTTCCGAGGATGGTCAACATATTTAATTAATTTTGTACATACTGATGTTAATGTTTTAACAATATCGCCACCAAATGGATCACAACGAAGATTAATTTCACGAATTAACTATTAAAAAAGAAAAGAAATAAATATACAGTTATGTTATTGAGAATTAATAAACTTCTTTAAATGATCTATCTAAATTGTGTAGCTTTACTCCAAGCTGATTATGAATCAATAAACAATATACTCTCAAATACTTACCAAATTGGTTATTGCTAAAGCTGGATATAATTCAACAATATCTTTGACAGGCTTCATCTCTTGGACAAGTTGTTTACGATGTGAATATGTTGCATCCATTTTTGATTTAACTTGACTATAATCATAATTTGTTGTGTTGATCATAACACGCATTGATTCAGCCTGTTGATACAATTGCATTAATAATTCTTGTGGCTGTTGATTTTCTTCAACAATATATTCCTGAAAAGAAGAACTTAGAAAAAACATAATAAAATTTTAAGCCTTACTCGTCGAGAAGCAAGTTCAAGTTTTATAAATTTCAATTTTCTTCCTGATGATTGATGACCATATGATTGTCGTTTTTTTTCTAATACTTCTGATAAACAATTGGATGCTTTTCGATCACGAGAAAATTGTTGTTTTAATGCAGATGTTAATACACTCTAAATATAAAAACAAAAATAAAATAAAATAAATATTAAAAAAGAAAATCTATCAAACATACCATATCTTCACCAAATATTTTAGTGAGTGTTGGAATTTTATTTTTAACACTTACTACCATTCGATCAAATTCATATGCTGTTGGATAAAAGCCAATACCATACGTATTTACTACATCATCACGAATTGTTTTAACTAATTGTTGTTTCATTGTACATCGTGGTCCAAAATTAGCTAATGATGGATCTTCAGCAGCTTCTACAAATGCTCTACTAAATGATGGAAGTACATAATTTAATGGAAATTTTTTTCTTAATTGAGGTAACGAATTTGCTGCACTATCACTCGATGTTTGATTGATTATTCGATCAGGTAATACTTCACGAGATAATGGAGAAGTTGTTATTGTTGGAATTTGATCGAAAGATGAACTTGATGTATTTAAATCTGAACTCGATATTGTTAAACTGTGTTGCTGATCAATACTATCATTATCATTATCAATACGAAAATCATCGAAAAATGATAAATTATTTGATTGATTTGTGCGTAATTGTTCAATCAGTATATCAGATTGCTTTTCATTTAATGTCATAATTGTACTAGAATGATAAGAGAAAACATAGTTGATCAATTGAATAAATGAACAAAACTTACTTATGATTCGAAAAAACGTTTTCTTTTAATTGTATGAGTTTTTTATTAAATGTTGTTTTAAGCCCAATAGTTGGTTTTTTTATCACATTATCGTCGGTAATGATTGATAATAATTCCTCAATCGATGTTGGACTTAAATTTAATAAAGATAATCCATCGATTTCTTCTTCTAAAATAGATAAACAAAAGATTTAGTTAATGAGTAAAGAACTATTTGCCAATACCTTTAAATTTAGCTACATATTTACTAAATTCGTTATCGATCAACCATCTCGAAACATCATCATTCGACCAATCCATAGACTATTTATCTAGGATAAATTTTAAAAAAGTAAAATACTAGATCTTTAGTTTTTCCAAGATCTTTTATTAACAAAAGAATGAATAATATTTGCAAACATATGAAGTATATATATTTTATAATTACATAAAAATTATTCAACATGTGTTAAACGATAAGGCACACGAACAAAATAAGAATTGTTCAAAAAATAACAGTCTTCTGCCTTATATGTCAAAAATTCATTCTCTCCTAATACTACATATGCATTCGATGGACTGATTTCATAACAATGTAAATTTTCTCTAAATGATATTGTTTCATAACAATGTACAATAAACCTCCATGCTTTTTTATTATTAATAATATATTTTATTTCACCAAATAAAGGAATTTCTTCTCCACCTAACAGATAAAAAACAAAAACATCTCCAATTTTGTACTTGATGTTATTTAATACCACCCATTTAACATATTCTATCAGTTCATCATAATCAAATAAATAATCATCACGTAATGCATTTTGTATTTCTTTTCTAAAACTTATTTTTCGTCGTGAATGAAATTTACCACTAATACCACTACATTTAAATATATTTTCCTCCATTAATTCATAACATTGACGTAGTTGTACACGCTTGGATATGGTACACGGCAAATTAATATAATTATTACACCTATTTGCAATCTTTTTTAATAAATGGTGCTTTGATTCGTAACGTAAATTCATTTGTCGTTTTAATGGACCATATTTAGCAGTATTACGTGCAGCATGAAGAAGAAAATGACATTTTGGAATAAATTGTTCTGGAAAAATCGTTTGAAATAATTGTAAAAATTCTTGAATTAAGTCTTCAAGAGTTGAAAGCCAAGATTTTCTTGGATAATCACTATGTAGAATATCCCATATCTGTCGTAGTAATTCATATAAAAACCAATAAGGTATTCGATCAACAATATCCATTAATATAAATGGTAAATTTAAAAATAAACAATATTTTTCCATAGCTTTACCTAAAAAATAAATATAAAATAATTGTAGTATCATACGGATAAAAAAATATTTACCAGGAACTCGTTTATCATGAATATCTTTTTCTTTAAATGTTGGTGGTCGATTTCGTCTATCATTTATTCCATATATAAAATTATTTATTCTATAACAGATTTGAGCTGATGTACATAAACGAGTAGATACAATTGTATGTAATAAAGAACTTATGATTTTTGGCATGATACCCTCAAATATATCATGCATGATATCTGGAGGTAGGGAGGTAATTGGATTAAATGATAATAGTGTAGAAAGAATTGATTTTTCATTAACACCATATAACGATTTATCATTAGGAACATTGTCAATATGTTTCACATGAAAATCATGTGATGCAGCTGTACGAATTAAAACATCTGCCTCTCTGTAAACATATTTCATGTCTTTATGATGTATAAGACAATATCGACAACATCGACCTGAATTAAATGAACAAGTGAATCCACCAAGTTCATGTGCTAAATAATAAAAAAAATATTTATCAACTTAAAACATAACTCTACAACTATAATTATTGATCACATATATTAACATAACTTATAATAGTGATCACATAGATATATTATCACACAAAAAATTTTTCAAATAAATTTGAAATAAAAAATTTTTTACAATCATATTTATTCATGTTAAAGATTTATTAGAAAAATTACCAGCTAGATTATCTGCACAGAGAGTACTAATTGTAAAATAGGTAGGAGTTATATCACCAGGTAATATAAGACCATCATTTTCTAAACATTCAATATCTTTATTTAATAGATTAAATAATATTTGACGATTATTTTCATTTTCAAAATCTTTTCTATAGAATAATAATAATAAATATATAAAATTTAACGAAGAATTATAACATGCTGGTAAATCATCTATAGATAAATAGAATGTTGTTAATTTATGTGCTGCATTCTTTCCCATCAATGGATTTATTACACCTATATCATCACAATATAATTGTAATAATATAGTGTTTTCTTTGATTTTCAAAATGCGATGTTGTCGACCTATTTCTCCATTTCGATAATGATAAATAATATCTTGTCCATCAAACTGACATATATATTTTTTTTCTCTTTTAATGCATTCATAAAAATCTTTTTTTTGAAATAAACACATCAATACGTCACATATTGGAATGTAATAAGCTTTATTACCCGTCGGTAATTGTATTTCTTTTGGTTTAATAAATTTGAAATAAAGTTCACAATCAGAAATAAATGATTCTTCATTTTTTGAAATTTCAAATAGAATTTTCTCAATATCACCATTAACATGACGTAATATAGGATTATCAAGATTAATATTCAATTTAGATAATAAGAATATTGAAAATGTTTCAAGTAATGAACAAACAGATAAAGAGATTGTCTTCATTACAGCACCAGGTAGTATATGACCTTCACGAACTCTTAATAACATTTTAAGATAGAATTTTTTTATTTCTTCTAATTGATCACAGTGTTCATATTGTTCATATTCAGGTATTGTTAATTGTTCTTCAAAATCATCATTAACATCAGAATTAATAATATCATGATTAACACATAGATCTGGTGTAGGTACTTCGTCAAATAAAGAATGTAACATATGTTTACGAAAATGAGAAATAAATGATTTTAAATTAGTAAAAACAAATTTTGAATCGCATAAAGCACAAGGTGTACCAAATTGACGATCATTTACATGTACTTGTCGAATATGACGTATATATCCATTATTTCCATTAACATTAACGAAACAAATTGAACATTGTTGAACACAATTAATAGACATGAGGAAGATTCAAAGTAGAAAATGTGTTAAATAAATTAATAAAAGATTATATGATCGTAATCCTAAGAATGTAAAGAATAAACATTTTTGATAGATGAATGATTGTTTTACCATTATATTTTCATATAAAAATATTGATCATAAATGCAAAAACTGTATAAGAAAAAAAAAATTTATTGAATAAGAATCTTTGTATTATCTAGAAGAAACAAAAGAAATGATTGCGCAATATATAGAAATGATAGTCCACCAGTAAGACGGCAGTTGTACTTATTATGAACGAATAAGACGACGGTAACGCTTACTACGAATAAAGAAGACAATAGATACGACGTCGAAACGAATCAAAATAAAATAAGAAGAATGTACTGACTAGAACGAAGTGATAATATAATATAAGTAAAAGAAAAGAATGAATATAGTGAGAATAAAACAGAAATACATAGTAGATGAAAAAACTATTGATCTTTGAATAAAACTTCATTGAAGTTTTAAAACTCACGGAAGAAAAATGTATTATTTTTTTCTCTGTAATAATAAGAAATGTCTTCATTATATTCAAGTTATTTTTTTAGATAGGGTAAATGATTTATATTTGATTAAAAAGAAAAAAATTATAGAAGATTTAACACCAATAGCTAGAATATATATATTTATTATTAAACATGAAAATTAACATATACCAAGTCATGTTTCTTTGGTTTTCAAAAAAAATATTCACATACATAAATAAATGAGATTTGAGTTGAGCAGATAGAAGAAGCATTCTATTTTGATACATGCTTCTCTCTTGACAATGATTTTGATTTAACATGAGAAGTATTTAGAACTAAGGTATCCTATATATGAAAATTTATTCTAATTTTATTTGAATAACTTAAAATGAACTAGAAATTAAGATTCAAAAGTGAAAGGCCTTTATGTATAATCCTGGTATGAATTAAATCACAGAACATGCCGCACATTGCGCGTTCAATATAATAGTTAATTATATGAGTTAGTTTTGTAAATTGGTGAAGATGAACACGTCAAAGTTAAGAAAATGAATTTTTGCAAAATCGGAATTGATTTTCAAGTTTTATTCAAAATCAATGTTGATTTTATTTTTTGTAGAAAATGATTTATTTCGAAAATCAAATTGAATTTCTACAAATTCGAAAATCAAGCATTTTCGAATTTGTAGAAATTCAATGAGTAAGTCATAAAACTTTAAAAATCCTTTAGCTTTTTTAAGCTCGATTTTCCAATAAGTAGAATTTAAAAAAAATTTACAGTGTAGGAGCATTCACACTCTCCCAAATCTATAATTGAAATGTTAAAGAA